AAGACTTGGAATGAGAAATGTATGTGAAAACCATGAAACTTCTTGCTGTTTTGTAAAACAGTGCCCTGAAGGGATTAAAGGTTAAAGAATTCTGGGTGAATTTTAGTTGATTCGGACATTTTAATGCTAGATATTCACCTTGCCCCACCCTTCCACCAATGTTACAATATTAAGTGAAGCTGATGAGGTGAAAGCCAAAGTAAACTAAAGTATCTCCCCCATCTCCCAAATTGCAAAACCTTGCCAAGTTGATTTCTGATATTCGCTGTGCTTTCAGTGAGAGATTAGCAGGGATGAAAAAGTTGTAAAATATTTAACTCAAGGAATCTAACTCAAAGAGAAATCAGCTAGTTTTCAAGATCCTCATAAAAAGTACCATATGGGTCTGGGAGTGTAATTCAGTGGTAGAGACCTTGCCTAGTATGTGTGAGGCCTTGGGTTGCATCCCCCTGCCCCAAAAAAAAAAAAATTATTTCATGGGTTACTAAGGAAATAAAAATTTTGACATGTTCAGTATTTTACATGACTAATTAGCTTATTTATGCCTCCAAATGTTAACCTAATGAGGCATTTATAATTTATCAAATTTGTTATTTGTGGACATGACATTTCCATTAAAAATTTGGACTTTCCTGATTTAGTATCCTGTTATTATATCCTTGTTTCTGTTTGAAATTTAGATTTGACCTACAACGTATCATCACAACTTTTAGCACCTTTGATAACAATGTAACTAATGATAACCATTAGGCTTGTATATATTAGAAATAAAAAAAATCAATACATAGTCAATGTAGTGTTTTAAAAACCTGAGATTGCCTGGACCCAACTCCCAGTTCTGCTATGTGCTATCTGTGTGGCTTCAAGTAGACTATTCACCTCTCTTTTGCTTAAATTTCTTTATCTTATAAAATAGACATAATAACAATAACTCCCTCTTAGTCCTAGAGGAGCTGGCACATGAAGAGTGCTATTATTGCCACTGCTACTCTTCCTGTGGTGCTGGTTGTTGTATCTATACCATGTTTCTCAACACACTTTTATACCACTGTCTTGGCTTATACACTGTCTTGGCTGAATCACTAAGTCCAAAGTATTTTGGAAGAAAATTGTAGACATACTTTTAAATGAAAGAACAATGATAAAAATTAAAATTAAACTATATGATCATTTGACAGCATCCCTTTTTATGGATCTATTCTGCACTGTCCCTTCTCTCCTACTTTTATGATAAGAAGATGCTCGTCTCTTTTTGTAACTTAAGGCTTAGCATGAAGGGCATGCAACTTGTGCTTCATTTTCATTGTCTAGGATTTTCCATGGAGATGCTGATATGTGCCAAAAGTCCCGACGTATGCATCATTTTCGTATGAGTTTTCTGGTTGAACGAGGCTTAATTAGATCCTCTTTTGTTTTCCCTTTAAAAAGTTGGAAACCATTTTGTTGTTTCTGGATGGGAAGGCTGAACATGTTTGGTTAAGTAAATCTCTTGGGCTCTAATCTGGCATCCACTCACATCTTATTAAATAAGAACTTTAAAAGCCTCTTGCTCCATCATTGTTGACCAGATGTTTCAAGATACAGGCACAAAATGTTTTTGTCAGTCAAATGTAGTGCAATTTTGAAGTAACAGTGTGTTTTTCTACTTCCAAAGATTAAAAACCACTGGAGTAGAGGTGTAACAAGGTCATGTTCATATTGTTTCTTTGCAAGTTTCTGTTACCCATTTATTTGGAAACAATGCTGAGCTTGACTTTCCTGACTTTTGCCTAGAAGAGACAGCAAGATTTTTCTCTTCATAGAAAGCAACTAGGCAACAGTTGTCTCCTTCCAGTGGATTTGTAAAAAAGAGGTACATTTCCTTCAGATTACTCTCGGTCCTTTTCTTTTTCCCCCCTTCAGCAGAGCATATTTTGTCTTGAATCCATCCAGTCTTTTACTCTTTATATTACATAGTTGCCATTGAGGTATCCTGGCAGACAGATTAATTAAGGTAAAGTCCAGAGAAACTGGCTGTAAGAATTCTTACTGTAGATATTGAGATATACATGGAAACCAATTTCCTATAGTCAAAATTGTGATAATAAAAAAGTAGACTGATCTTAATTCATAATGGTATAAAAATGAGGCTGTTGTAATTAGCAGGAGATCTGTCTGGACAGCCTGGGCAGTCATAGCAGAGCCAAGATTCAGTCAGCCAGGCTAGGAATTGTCCACAGATGTGGAGGTATTGAAGACCTGCACAGCGTGAGTCCTGCTAATGCTGTCCATTTGTATTGAGTCCCTGCAGGTGTTCCAGCCCCATCAGCCCTTTCTTACGGGGCCACACATGTCCTTGAATTTAATGTTACTAAATTTAATGTTACTGCCCAAGTTTCCTTTTTATTTTGTAGATAGAAACCCTTAAAGATAACCCAAATTACTATTTTTATCTTATAGATTGATTGGGAAACCGAAGCCAGAGGTTAAGTGATTTGTGCAAAATAGCACATGACTTCTTGGCTGAGCTGCAACTGAACCTGGTTCTCTGGCTTCCCCAAATTAGTGTTCTTTTCTCTGATCCATGCTGTCTTTGCTTATCCACTCAATTAGCAAATGTAATTGAAGGTACTCTAATTAGTTCAGCTCCTAAAGGCTTTTGTGGTTAGTGTCAGATTGGCAAGAGGTTGTTTTTTTTTCCCCTTAGATTTTGAGTTGTGGCCAAATTTCGTCAATTATTTGTCTTGAAGTCATCACATTGATGGCAAGATTATTTGAGTGTTTGTCTATCTGTCTGATAAACATGCCTTTGTAATGCAAATTAAAGGCTGTTATTATAATATACCAGTGTATGTCATCATGAGACACTGAGCAGTTGTGGCCACTATAGTGGTGACATTTCAGCTTTCGCTATCACTGTGTGTTTTTTCCAGGCCTGTGAGCTTTGACACTACTTTAGTATATAATTGAGGGGTTTAGCAGTGCTCTGGAAACCCAAGCATCCCACGAAGCAGATGCTAGGGATGCAGGGGGCTGATTTGGCACCCCATGCACTTGGCAGTTGGATGAATTGGCACTGCCAGTTCATGGGCATGAGAAGCTTGGAGGTGTGAAGTACCCTTAGATCTGTAATCTAATTGCTACTGCCCTTTAGGGACTCTCAAGGAGTTATCTATATGAAATTGAATTTCTTTCAATGGAAGAGAACTCAGTTCCTGTGAGGAAGCCTAAAATTGACTCTTAGACTTCAGGACTTACTGATATCTCTGAAAGATCTAGAGATGGATCTACAATAGAAGGAAAGGCCACTGAAAGATATGCTATCATTTGCATTGTATTTATTATACTAAAATGGAGATGAACAAATGGGGCTCTCTAAGTAACCATGTTCTTGAGAGTCTAGGAGTAGAGAATTACAACTCCTATGACTTCCATTTCTTATCTCTTCATGTTACTACTGAGCTGTATTTTTCTTGAGTAAACTTGAATGGGTTTCCAGGAAATGGTTACCTCTTTTTTTGAATCTCAGTATTTGTTTGTGTGTAAGAAAAGTTTTCATGTTAACATTTCTTTGTAATTTCATGGAAAGTTAAAAAGTTTTCAAATTCTTTGTGGCCTATCCCTGTTACACATCAAAATATACATGTTGAATGTACCTCACTGTAGACTTTAAAATGTTCCATTGTTGTTAGATCGCAACATTGACAGAGAATATCTTTGTTTTGTTTTAGAGTATGAGGTGGTCTACATTTCTTCTCTGGACTTAATACACAAATTGCTAGGATACTAATTGTCTGAAAACTTAAAGAATGGTTTTTAAAATTGCTTTGTCCAGAATTTGATTTAGAAGCTTATATTTTAAGAAAAATTGAAATGTAATTATTTCTAGCTCATAATAATATTTAGATTACACACTGTGTTTGGTTTTCCATTCTTTGACTTTCATCAAATGCACATAAAAGATAAAAAGAAAATGTTATATAAACTTCTACCACATGAAAAGCAGAGACATTCCCATTCCTAAGATGCTTTCTCGTCACTTCACATTTTCTGATAGAAGACAGGTCAGTTTCTCCATACATGATGTTTGTTGAATAGTGTCAGTTTTTACATGTGTAAGTCATCCTGGAGAGAAGTCTTCAATTATTTGATTGGTAGTCCTTCATCTTTTTTTTACATGGAAAAACAAAAGACTTTAGAGAAAGTTTTGTGACAATTGGGGTGATGGGTTCCACTTCTGTTAAAGGAGAATTTGAGTCAAATAGTACATTCTCAGTCTGTCCTGACCTCTTTGGTTCCCAACTGTCTGGCCATGTGTATCAAACTGTACATGTGAGAAAGAGAGAGAGCCGAGAGCAGGGGGAGAGTGTGAGTGAGAGTGTGTATGCATGCTTGCACACACATATATACAGAGCATCTTTCCTCTGTAGTATGTTTATGGTCATTTTAAAGCAGAAATGAGAATTGAGAGGGTACCCTGATAACTATTCCTGTGTCTCTTGTACATACAGTTTCCCCATGAGTTCTGATAACTCCCCATATCCTGGTAGTACTCACTGTCATTGCAGGAAGTGTTCATGTCCTGTCCTGACTTTTGTGAAATGGAGTGATTTTTTTTTTTCCTTTTTTGTTAGTTTGAAAATAGAAAGTAGAGGATGGTGGTTGTTTGTATTGAGATTTTGCTAACAGATTTTGTTGCCCACCAGTTTACTCAGTATCCTGTAGTAGTGCTACCAGCTCTGTTGTAAAAAAATAAATATTTTTAAAATTTTGCCCTTTTCCCATTTACTCCCTTCACATTTTTAAAAACAAACAGTAGATTTGATTCCACAGAAACTGCATTGGTTCATGGATAAAAAATGGACTCCTTATTTTGGACAATAAGCTTTTTATTTTTGTCATTTGTAAACAAGATTTGATTTTTGTGTTCTGTTACTTAAGCACATATACAAAATATACTTGTGTTTTAGAAACTGCTTGCATTTTAATTTAATAACATGCCTTCGCAATTTTTTTTAAAGGTAGTGTCTTCCCCAGCAGATGTAGCTGAAAAGGCTGACAGGATTATTACAATGCTGCCTACCAGTATCAATGCCGTAGAAGCTTATTCTGGAACAAACGGAATTCTAAAGTATGTATTTTTCAACTATGGATATTTTCTTGTTATGCTAGTTCATGAATTTCACATTTGTTAGAACTGTTAAGAGTTTACAATTATATTTGTTTAAACTTTCTGTACTATTTTCTTCTTCCATAAAGTGAATAGTGTGGTTTTTTCCCCCCTCATTGTAAAGGGTTTATTTTTTCCACTGGAGTCAAGTATGTGACTTTTGGAAATAAGTTTTTTTGCTTCTGTTTCTTTTCTTTAACTCTTGCATTAAAATTACACTTTCATTGGTAACATTTAAGAGGCTTTTAAAGTTTGCATTTTAAACTATACAACTATTAAAAGTATAATTTTCTTATGGCTTTTAGGAATTCAGAAAAAGGGTTCTATGAAAAATAAAACCAAACACTGGAAAGAACACTGTTATTTAACATTTTATTATATAATAAAAAGTTACTGTATGTCCTCTGGGTTAGTGTATCTGTAGTAAGAACTTCAGGAAGTTGGAATTAAAGATTTGCAGCAGTTCTTTAAATAAAACATAATTTAGGTCAGAGTTTCCTAGCCAGTACCTATCTTCCCTGGCTCTGTGCACCTTTTGGTTAATTGGCCCCTGTTGCCAAACCCTTGTGGTTATGTTAGGATGCTAGTGCTTGAATTTCCAACTTAGTTTTCTGGTCTTAACTGGTTCCTATTCCTAACTTCTTTTGTTGTTGAATTTCAACAAAGAGCTTGTACAAACTAGTGGACTCTATGGACACATCAAGAAAGGGTTGAATTCCAGGAAATTGTAATACATGAAATTTGAGGTTTTTGGAAATTGAATTACTTTGGAAAACTAATAAAGTTGGAAGCAAAAGACACTTGGATATTAGGCAGAAAACTGGTAAGATAAATGTTTAGATTTCAGGAATGGTTGAAAGACACTCCTTCTGGATGAAGCCAGCAGGCAGGCCCTCGGTGTGTGTGGTCCAGAGGCACTCTTGCTGACTCATTGTCCTGCCTGTTTCAGTTAAAGCCCTGCCTTACCTCTCAGGGAAAAGTTGCAAAAACTTGTGTGGAGATAGGACCCTATCTGTATTAATATCCTTTTCTTTGGAGGGTGGTGGCCAGCCACCAAACTAATTTTGTCCAGGGGGTGCTTTGAAAGAGTTTGGCTTTACATTGAACTATAATTTGCCTCTCATGGATGGTTCTTTATTTTCTTCTGGATAAGGATCAGTTTCCTATATCCAGTGCATGTGTAATTTTTTAGATGATTTCCAGTTTGTTTGAAGATTTAATATCTGGGTTGGGGTTATGGGTCAGTGGCAGAGTGCTTGCCTAGCACATGTGAGGCACTGGGTTTGATCCTTAGCATCAGTGGCAGAGTGCTTGCCTAGCACGTGTGAGGCACTGGGTTTGATCCTTAGCATCACATAAAAATAAATGAATAAAATAAAGATATCATATCCATCCAAAACTAAAAATATTTTTAAAAAAGATTTAATATCTTAAAAATAGGAAGATTACAAAAGACTGATAAACTTAATTCTTATTTTTTAGGTTACATAAAGTAAAACCTACACAGAGGTGATCTCTAATAGTTTGCTGTGTCCTTCTATGGAATATACCCAAGCTTTGGAACTAGAACAATTTGTATGTCTAAGATTGTTGTTTAAATCATGTTGTATGCTATTTTTTCCTATAGAAAGATTTTACTTTTCTTTTTAGTAATTCTTATCAGTGATTCTCCCCCCCCATTTTCTTCTTTAATATTTATACTTGCTGAGTTCTCTTTTCCAGTCATGATTCCTGGCTGAGTTAATATTACCTTGTAGTAAGAACTTCGGGAAATTTGAATTAAGGGCTAGCCATTGCCCTTAAATAAATTATAATTGAGGTCATAGTATATTAGCCAGTAAAAATATGCACTGCTTTTTAGATAATAAGGGAACAGTGTAGGTATATATATTCTTGTAGTAAAAGTAGAAACATTTTACTACAAGAATGTCATTTGAATATTGAGGTAAGATGTACAAAAACACTGCTTCCTCTTTGTATGTATATTTTAATTTCCTACAAAGAACAAAAAACTTTGTGAAATTTCTAGATTTATTCTTGTGTTTTCCTACTTGTTTGATATTTTTGTCTTTAAAAATGTATTACTTGAGGCTGAGACAAGAAGATTTCGAGCTCAAAGTCAGCCTCAGCAATGGCGAGGTACTAAGCAACTCAGTAAGACCCTGTCTCTAAATAAAATACAGAATAGGGCTGGGGATGTGGCTCAGTGGTCGAGTGTCCCTGAATTCAATCCCCAGTACCCCCTTCCCCGCAAAAAGTTTTACTTATAAAACAAATATATAATCCTAAAGCAAATGGCTAGATTTCACTTGTGTTTAGTTAATCTAGTAGAAATTACATAGATATGTGAAATTTGTAGTATGGCTTGTTAAAGACAAATAAATTACTCTTTTAAGACTCAGTGACTTTACAAACAAAAATTTAAATCCTATTAAATGCCCTTTTAAAGTTAATAGTTGTTTTAAATTGCTTACATTTTAGCTTTACCTATATTATATGGTTACTGTGTACTTTACCTGAAACCAGAATGTGTACCATGTAGTTTATTAGATTCTTTTGGGCTTATTTGGAAGAGCTTGGGTTTACTTTGAACTCTAATTGATCTGGAAATGAATATGAGATTTTTTGAACCATTTCAAACTAATAATGTTTTTAATACTAAGCCAAAGACCCCCCCCCACCTTGATATCTGGCATATTTTAGCTGATTTGAATTATATAAGTAGTTGTATGCAATGTTTATTCAAAGTTGTAAACTATGAATATTTTTATTTATTTACTTAGAAAAGTGAAGAAAGGCTCATTATTAATAGATTCCAGTACTATTGATCCTTCAGTTTCAAAAGAATTGGCCAAAGAAGTTGAGAAAATGGGAGCAGTTTTCATGGATGCCCCTGTTTCTGGTGGTAAGTGGTAGCTAAAATATATGCATACCTATTTCTATTTATCGAAAGTAGCTATTATGATTTTGTGCTACTCAATAATTTCTAGTTATTTTTAGACCTGTTTAAAGGTTCTTAATCTCACATTAAAAATAAAAACAAAACAGGCATATTTAGTACTCTTGAGATACATTGTTCTCAATTTAGACACAAGGAGATTATAGCTTGAATAGTTGTAAATTTTTGGTCTCATTACTATGGTTAGAGATAGATAAGTTCCTATAAATGTAACTATTTTTTTTTTTAATACTAGAGATTGAACCCAGGGGTATTCTACCTCTAAGCTATATCCTCAGACTTTTGAAATTTTATTTTCGAGACAGAGTTTTGAAATAAGTTACCCAGCTAGCATCAAACTTGTGATCCTTTTGCCTCAGCCTCTTATGTTGCTGGGATTACAGGTATGCACCACTGTACAAAATTTAACTTTTAAGAACGAATTCAAGAATTAGCTTGAGTGGTTCTTTCACTGTTGAAGAAAGTAAAGAAGTGGTAAAAAGAAAAAAGTCATCTCACAAGGAAAACAGGCCCAGATGGTTTTACAGATGATTGTCTACCAAATTTTCAAGGAGCAGATCACCTAAAATTTATACAGACTTTTCCAGACAATAGAAAATGGGGAAACAGGGGTTGGAGCTGTAGCTCAATGGCAGAGTGCTTGCCTTGCACATGCGAGGCCCTGGGTTCGAACCTTAGCACCACATAAAAATAAATGAATAAAATAAAGGCATTCTGTACAACTCCAAAATTAAAAAAAAAGAAAGAAAATGGGAAATACATCTCAACTTACTCTACAAGACATATATAACTCTTGATATTTAAGACAGAAACAGTAGTAGAGAGAAAAGTTACATGGAGGTCTGTTTTAGTCATGATGTAGAAGTTAAAAACTTTTAAAAAGTGTATTAGTAAACTACATCCAACCATGAATGAAGGAGATCAAACACTACAACCAAGATTGATTTAGCCTGTGTATGCAGAGATGGCTTAATATCAGAAAATTTGTAAATGTAATTCACCATACAACATACTTAGACATCATATGATCATCTCTGTAAGAGAAGGAGACCCACTAATAGAATTCTAAAATCATATTGTACAAATAATAGAAGGATCTGGGTATTTTGGAATGGCAGGATTACAGATAAGACTTTGTGTAATTCCCAAATTTTTCAAAATTACTGTGTGATCAAAATTACTCTGTGTCCCCCCCCACACACATATTTTTAGCTGTTAATGGGCATTTATTTATTTATTTATTTATTTATTTATTTATACATACATACATACATACATACATACATACATACATAGGAGGTACTGAGCATCCAATCCAGGGCCTCATACATGCCAGGCAAGTGCTCTACAACTGAGCCACCACCCTAGCCTCACGTGTATGTGTATTTTTAGTGTAGACAATAGAATAAGAGTTTTATTCCAATTGTGTTAAACTTGACTGAAAGCTTTGGAGGTAATAAGTAAGAGATAATAATTCAAATCAGTTTCTATTTTTTCCATAAAAAACTGAATGATGTTTGTTGAAAAGATCTTATATTTCCAACGATTTTCCCCCAAAGTATTTTGAATATAGATGGAGGAATAAATAATTATTAGCTTTTATTGTTATATTGAGTGGACATAGGCAATTTGATCACGAAATACTAGTAAGCTTTGTGTTGGTGTGGCTTTTATAGGATGAAATTAATAAACTGAACAATTCTTTCTTTTGAGTGGATCTGTAGTTGAGTTTGAAAATTGGTATGGTGGGAACTGGGGTTGTAGCTCAGTGAAATGGAGTGCTTGGCTAGTACATGTGAGGCACTGGGTTCGATCCTCAGCACCAAATAAAAAGAAATAAATAAAGATATTGTTTCCATCTACAACAAAAAATATGAAAATAAAAAAGAAAATTGGTATGGTACATTTGATCTTACTGTTGACTTAAAAATTTTAAAAAGTTTTAAAAATTGACACATATTTATGGGGTACACCTGATGTTTTGATACCTGGGTACATTGTAGTAGTAATGTTCAAATCAAGGTAAATGTATCTTCTCAAACATTTATTTTTGTGTGTGGGAAAAACATTAAAAAGTGCTTTCATCTAACTTTTTTGAGATATGCATTATATTATTATTGTATATAGTCATTCTATTGTACAAGGAACATGGGAACTTATTTTTCCTAAGTATAGTTTATTACCTTGTGGTCAACCTTTTGCCCTCCCTACCTCCCTCCTTATTCTCCCCAGCCTATTTAAAATCAGATTACCTTGTGTTGTGTTTCTTTCTTGTTTTTTTGCTATTGAGTTGTTTGACCCCTTGTCAGATGTATAGTTTGCACATCATTTCTCCCATTCTGTAGGTTGTCTCTGCTCTGTTGATTGTTTTCTTTGCTGTGTGATCTTATTGTTTGATCTTTTATTTCAAGAGTACAATTTGAAATTATATTTCCCAGGCTGTCCTTGAACTCAAAGATCCTCCTACCTCTGCCTCCACCTCCTTTGTAGCTGGAATTATAGGTGTGTGCAAGGCAGGCAAATTTGATTTTTAAGTGTTGTTTTAACTTTCAAAATGCAGTCTTATTTGTGTGAACACTTTGAAATACTCTTTTGTTCTTATCAATCTATTTAAAACCCTACTATAACTGTGAACACATGTGAATCTGCATTATATTGTTGATTAAAAGTTTGTGTAGGGATTTATTGGTTGACACAGGATCATTATGAGATTAATTAGTATATATTACCACCTTGTTTATATTGGTGATCTCATATAGTTATTAATTTCATAGCTATGATGGGTTAAAAAATTCCACTTTCTCAGTTAAAAAAGATAAAACTTCCTGTATGTTAAATAGTCTGATTTTTAAAAATCATTATATCTTAACCAAGTAAAATTGAATAAGAGGGATATGGGAAAAGCATAGCTTAGATACCCATTGTGGACCCACAGTTTTATAGATGTTCTAAATTCATCAACCTTGAAGTATTAGATATTTAGGATCATTTGAACAAAACCTTAAAAAAAATTTCTCCTGTATGTTATCTTTTTCCCAAGCTTAATTTTGTTTCTTATCTCAAAAAAAACTTAAACGAAAATATGTATGTGTGTGTATATATATATGTGTTGTATATTCGCATACACACACAAGTACATTAGTATCATAATAGAACCATAGTGTACTTACTGCTTTGTGGTTAGCATTTTCATTTTAAAGAGTTTTTTTTTTTAAACTCCAGATGAATTTAAAAGATTTTTGAGAAGTGAATGGTTTCCTCAATCCAACATTTTCCTTTGCTTCTGGAGAGGAAGTAAAAAGAGTCATTATTATATTGTTTATTAGTCCATAGAGTAACAGATTGAAGGTTTTCCTCACATTTCATTTCAATATTTATTAGACCCATCACAAATGGCTCCTGTGTACATCATTCTTTTTTTTATTTTTTGATAATTCTGGGGATTAAATCAAGGGCCTTACAAATGCTGGGTAAATGCTCTACCACTGAATTACGTCCCCAGCCCTATACATTATTTTTAATGTAAATAATATAACTTTACTTAAGTGCTCTATGACTCACAGTATGAGGAACCAATATATACTTGCATAATTTTCACTGTATAGTATAGATATTTTTTTATAAGGCACTCTAGCATGCTTTAACCTATTTGGTGTTTCTTTTTGAAGATGCCAAACTGTACGTGGCTCTATCAAAGCCCATATTTTGCCACAAATTCCCTTTCTCTTCTGAAGTTTAAGTTTTTTGAGTATAGGGAGTCCTTTGTTGTTCCTTATTTTTATTAAATACTGAATATGAATGAAAATATCAGATATGTATAAGGTATAAATCATAAGTACATGTTGAGCTAATCTGTATCACCCAGTTTAAGAAATAGACTTCTCTAACTTTGAAGTTATTTTTAATATATTTTTATTTCTAATCAACACATAGTATTGTAAATATTTATGGATATAGTATAACATTTCTTAAGTACAGGTATATGACAGATAATGACCAAACAATATATAATGATCAGAACAGGGAAAATGGTATGTCTGTCACTTCAAACATATTAAATGCAATTCTTACATGTTTCCCCCAATCCTATTTTCTCCCTGATTAGAGGTAACCAGTATCATGAATTTTGTGTCTCATTCTCATGATTTTCTTTACAGTTTAGCCTCATTTTTAAAATCTCTTTATAGTAATTTTATTTTCCATGATTTGGAACATTCTAGAAATGGAATTATGCATATGTTCTGTGACTTGCTTTTTCATGATCTGTTCCTGAATTTCATCCATGGTGTTGGGAGAGCCACTAGCTTACTCAGTGCCTTTGTGAGAATTGGAAAGAGGCACCCCCTTTGCACTGAAACAGCTCCTAGGTGAGCCAGATTCACCTTTGTATTATTTTTTTTTCCTGAACAGATGTATCCCTGCAGGAAGGTTTATAGTCTGGCAAACTGTGGATTGAATTTAGTATCTACCAAAAAAAAAAAGACTATTGGAGTAGACAAAGGGGAATGAAGGGAAGGGAGGAGGGACAGGATAGAAAAAACAGTAGAATGACTCTGATCTAACATTCTTATGTACATATATGAATATACCACAGTGAATCTCACTATCAGGTACATCCACAAGACATTAGTTTAAACAAACAAAACTATAAGCAAATAGCCGAACTATCAATAGAATAGAGGGTGGGAGGCAGGAGGGGAAGGGGAAGTACCAAGGACTGAATTAGAACAAATTATATTCCATGCTTCTATAATTATGTCAAAATAAATTCTGTTGTCATGTGTAACTAAAAAGAAGTGATTTTTTAAAAAAAGAATGTAGCCCTTACTGATATGCCTAGTGGGATGTCCATGGGCAATGAATAGATATCTTGCCTTTATATGGTTGTTAAGTATAGCTCATTACTTTCAGCAGCTGTATGACATTCTTCTATATAAATACATCAT